ACTGCTTTCATGATTTGGTGAACTGCGTCCTTTGCAACTTCGTAATGGGCCTCTAAAATATCAGGTACTTCGCTGCTTACTATCTCGTCTTGTACTTCTTAGATGTCTTCCTAGAACCGGGGAATCCCCGTCTTCTGGATAAGTTTCAAAAGCTGATAAAATCTCATTTACTGTGTACAGATGTCTCTGGAACCGGAACCCTTGTGGTAACGCGGCACCAATTCGAGGCTCGAAGTACCGAATGTAGCATTAGGGTTGAAAGGCCTATTGTACACCTATCCGGCTCGAAGGACCGAAGTTCCTTAAACTATTCAGCATTTAGGAATGTCCCCATCAGACACAACAGGATATGGGAAAATGAAGGTTCTCTTTCCCAAAGATCAGGAGCGGAAAATATTATGTTATAGAGGCCGCTTTATCACCTCAAGCCACGTCCATCACAAAAACAAGAACAAAAGTTACAGGTAAAACTGATTTATTTCATAAATATACATTATAATGTCCATAGAACAAAATTGGATCACTTCCAAACGAAAGTTTACCAACCACCATATCCGGCGCGTGCCAAACCGAAACCGGAAGCGTAGGTCTTTCCGTAGCCGAACGGAGTGACACCGGCGTAACCAAGGGCCAGTGGGGCGGCGTGAACTGCAGCAGGTGCGGCTAGTCTGTATCCGCCGGTGTATCCTCCCAAATGTCCGGCGTAACCGAAGGTGGCGGGTGCGGTCAAACCGAAACCGGTGGCGTAACCGGCACCGACAGCAAGACGAGCATCACCGAAGTGTCCGAGCGCTGGAAGTGGGAGAGGAGCGGCGGTGATTGCGGGCGCGGGGATGGCGACGCGGGTCAAAGGCTCAGCGTGGAAGGCGGGCGCGGGGATGGCGACGCGAGCCAAGGGTTCGGCGTGGAAAGCGGGTGCGGGGATGGCGACGCGAGCCAAGGTTCGGCGTGGGAAAGGCGGGTAGTGCGGGGATGGCGACGCGAGCCAAAGGTTCGGCGTGGAAAGCGGGCGCGGGGAGGAGGGCGGGTGCGGGCGCGTAGTGGACGGGCTCGGAGCGGATGATCGGTGCCGGAACGGGGGTGTGCTCGGTCTTGTATCCGTACGAGGTGGTGATGACTGGTGGAAGTGGTTCGGCGAAAGATTTTCCTGGAACGGTGTAGGTGATTGGTGGTTGCGGGATGGCTACGGGTGCGACGGAGTGAGCGTATCTAATCGTGGGTACACTGATGGCTGGTTGGAGGTAGCCGGCTCTGGCGACTGCCAAAACGGCGCAGAAACTGACGAACTGTAACATGTTCAAAAATTATAAAAAACCATATTTTAGCTTGCACTGCGACTTACCTTGAGAGACATGTTGAGGGATGTTCAAACACGATTGAGTGATATCGATTTGATAGTACTTTGCGCTTATATACCGTTTACATTCTACGCACAGGTGCTTAACTTCTAATTAGCTACTCCTTTCATTACGTACCCATATTGCTTAAGGCGTACCCTTAGTTGTAAACAAGTAAATGCACCTTACATGCCACACTTCAGACGTGGAAAGGTAATGAGTACCTACCCATTAAATAAAATGGACAAAATCTAAGTCTCAAGAATCTTTTACAATAAAAGAAAAATGTCCAAAAATCAAAAATTTTGTATAACACCATATCACGAACATGTTTGGCTACAAGGTCTACTAATTTCAAAATTAACTTCTTTTGCTTTGGGTAGGTGCTTAACGAAAAGATCGTAGTTATTGGAGAATTCATAAAAAAACAGAGACGCATTACGTAAATATGACTAATGGATTCTTGACCGAAATGATAGGAAAAGGTACGTAGAGGCACTGCGTTCCACTGCGAATTATGCAAAATTATGAGTGGTCAAAGGAAGGGCCTCTACATAGAGACCATACGTTCCCATACGAGTTTCGAAAATTATCGATGGTTTAATCCAAAAATTAATTCACAATATAGGAAGACGTACGTGGGGCCCGAAAAATTAATTCCTTGCAGTGAGTTACTATGAATTTTGCGAAATTATGAATGACTTCATCCATCCAATTAATCTAAAGGTAGGAAGAGACCTGTAATTAACCAAAAAAAAATCTTCTATGCCTAGAACCCGTACTAATTACAAAAATTATGGATGGTTTAATCCACCGAATTAATCTACAATACAGGAAGACGTGCTTGGGGCACAACAAATTAATTGCCTGCACTGAGCTATTACGAATTTTACGAAATTATGAATAACTTCATCCACCTAATTAACCTAAAGATAGGAAGAGACCCGTAATTACCCAAAAAAAGCTTCTGTGTCTAGAACCCATACTAATTTCGAAAATTATGGATGTTTTAACCCACCGAATTAATCTACAATATAGGAAGACGTGCGTGGGGCACAAAAAAATTAATTCCCTGCACTGAGTTACTACGAATTTTGCGAAATTATGAATGACTTCATCCACCCAATTAACCTAAAGATAGGAAGACACCCGTAATTACCCAAAAAAAAGCTTCTGTGCCTACAACCCATACTAATTTCGAAAATTATGGGTGGTTTAATCCACCGAATTAATCTAAAATATAGGAAGACGTGCGTGGGACACAACAAATTAATTCCCTGCTCTGAGTTACTACGAATTTTGCGAAATTATGAATAACTTCATCCACCTAATTAACCTAAAGTAGGAAGACACCCGTAATTACCCAAAAAAAAGCTTCTGTGCCTAGAACCCATACTAATTTCGAAAATTATGGATGTTTTAATCCACCGAATTAATCTACAATAAAGGAAGACGTGCGTGGGACACAACAAATTAATTCCCTGCACTGAGTCACTACGAATTTTGCGAAATTATGAATGACTTCATCCACACAATTAACCTAAAAATAGGAAGACACTCGTAGTTACCCAAAAAAAAAAAGCTTCTGTGTCTAGAACCCATACTAATTTCGAAAATTATGGATGTTTTAACCCACCGAATTAATCTACAATATAGGAAGACGTGCGTGGGGCACAAAAAAATTAATTCCCTGCACTGAGTTACTACGAATTTTGCGAAATTATGAATGACTTCATCCACCCAATTAACCTAAAGATAGGAAGACACCCGTAATTACCCAAAAAAAAAGCTTCTGTGCCTAGAACCCATACTAATTTCGAAAATTATGGATGTTTTAATACACCGAATTAATTTACAATATAGGAAGACGTTCGTGGGGCGCAACAAGTTAATTCCCTGCACTGGTTACTACGAATTTTGCGAAATTATGAATGGACTTCATCCACCCAATTAACCTAAAGATAGGAAGAGACTCGTAATTACCCAAAAAAAAGCTTCTGTGCCTAGAACCCATACTAATTTCGAAAATTATGGATGTTTGAATACATCGAATTAATCTATAATATAGGAAGACGTGCGTGGGGCACAACAAATTAATTCCCTGCACTAAGTCACTACGAATTTTGCGAAATTATGAATGACTTCATCCACTCAATTAACCTAAAGTAGGAAGACACCCGTAATTACCCAAAAAAAAAGCTTCTGTGTCTAGAACCCATACTAATTTCGAAAATTATGGATGTTTTAATCCACCGAATTAATCTACAATATAGGAAGACGTGCGTGGGGCACAAAAAATTAATTCCCTGCATTGAGTCACTACTAATTTTACGAAATTATGAATGACTTCATCCATTCCAATTAACCTAAAGATAGGAAGAGATCCGTAATTACCCAAAAAAAAAAGCTTCTGTGCCTACAACCTATACTAATTACGAAAATTATGGATAGTTTAATCCACCGAATTAATCTAAAATATAGGAGGACGTGCGTGGGGCACAAAAAATTAATTCCCTGCACTGAGTTACTACGAATTTTGTGAAATTATGAATGACTTCATCCACCTAATTAACCTAAAGGTAGGAAGAGATCCGTAATTACCCAAAAAAAAAGCATCTGTGAATTTCGTGAAATTAGCCTAAAAGATAGAAAGAGGTAAGTAGAGCACAAAAATTACTTTTTGTGTATCGATGCGACTAAATGTTGCATTTTCCAAAGTGTTGGTCAACATCTTGTATCGCGGATTATCAAGAGCCGAGTCTGTGACCCTGTCAGCGTACACTCCAACCAAGAACTTTACCCCTGCACTGACTACCTCATCATGGGGTGCACCAGGGTTTCCAAAGTGTTAGGCAGGATCCTGCAAATGCGGGTTCCTCTCCAGGCAAACTTCATCTCCCTGCTGAAACAATGACAAAAAAAGAAAAAATTGATCTACCCTATACAAGGAATACTTGTTTAAACAAGCAAGTTGTCGGTTCTGATTATAGATAAAAGGTGGACTTCATTGACTGCACCTTCCAACTCAAAACGGCTACTTAGACGCAACGATGACTAAGGCGCTTCTGTTCCATCCTGGCTTTAATTGATGGAACTGTTGACTGATTGAATAATCAATTTTTCATTTCAAAAAATTGACTGCTTTTAAGCCACTGAAGTTTAAAGTTGCGACTCATCTACACTGCGGAGTTACTTCTTTGATCTTTTAATCCCTTGGATTTTTCTTTAAAAGCAGCACATCGAAAAGGTCAGTGCGTCTAATTTTCAACTAAACACGTTTCTCAATTTGAACACCCTTAACTGCCTAAGTAATTTGTTTTTCTTGTATTTGGACATTGCGATCCATTGGGATCCATTTTTTAAAAAGGAAATCGATTATTATCTAACAATGCCAACATAGTTCAAGACTCCCGTTTAATTCAATACAAAAATGTAGAGATTGTCAAATTTTGTGAAAGGTAATCATCATTAAGCGAACTCGACCTACGGCAACGCAGGATTTACATAAGTAGAAATTCTAATAGCACCCCTGAGGTGCTTGTTTACAAAACAAAATTTGTTTGCTATAATTACTTTTGGGTAAACAACTGTATGTAGTTGAATATATAAGGTCTTCCTGCGCCTCATTTGTCAGTTAACACCACAACTGTTACAGCAACCAACATGTTCATCAAGGTGAGTGCTAACTGAACTTGGTTCAGTTCTCTAAAGGTCCGTAACTTTCAGGCAATCTTATTCTTCGCACTCGTCGCTTTGGCCAGAGGAGGTGGATACCTTGGAGGTGCCTTCGGTTTGGGAGCCGGCTACGGTGGTTTTGGATACGGTCTTGGACACGGTGGTTTCGGTTACGCCCTTGGACACGGACATGGAGGATTAGGTTACGGATTGGGACACGCTTCCGGATACAGCTACGCAATCCGCCCACCATTGGCTCTCCCAGCTCCAGCTCCAATCGCAGTTGCCGCCCCAGCTCCACTTCACTTCGGACACGGTGCCGGTTACACTAGCTACACCCGCCCAGCCGTCGGATACGCACATGGTTTCGCCGCTTCCGCACCCATCGCAATTCCCGCACCTGCTCCCCTCGCAATCCCCGCCCCAGCTCCACTTCACTTCGGGCACGGTGCCGGTTACGGATACACTAGCTACTCCCGCCCCGCCCTCGGATACGCACATGGTTTCGCCGCTGCCGCACCACTCGCCGTCGCCGCACCACTCGCCGTCGCCGCACCCGCTCCCATCGCAATCCCCGCACCTCTCCACTTGGGACACGGAACCGGCTACAGCTACACGAACTACGCCCGTCCATCCGTTGGATTGACCCACGGTGGTTTTGGATTCAACCCCATCTTCTCCGGCACGACTTTCGGTCTTGGACTTGGCGGTTACGCTAACCGATTCGGCCACAGCACATACGGCAATCACTAATTACCAAATTTCATAGTTGCAAATAGCAAATGTATTTATTCCATTTTTTGAATATTAAAGCAATATAATTTAATGCAATTACAATTCCAATACCATTAGCACTCCGTATAGTAGGATAAAGTGTTTAATAAGGCTTGGGAAGTGAAGAGAAACTGGTTTGTCCAAAAAAAATTTCGTTTGTAATCTTACATGTAGTCTCTTCTCTCTCGATTTTCTCGGTTTCTGTAGTGGGATGACTTCTTCTTCCAAAATTAGAATTTGCTTTGGGGCATTCTTTCCAGCGTGTTGATCAAATTCTGGACAGTTTTTTCCGTACCCAATTAAAATATTTTCCACTTTCTTCTTCTCAAGTTTCTTGTCGAAGCTCCTCTTGGATCACGGCATATTTTCTCCTTGCTCTTTCGCCCTCCTTTCAACTTTTCTTCTTCCATTCGCTCCATGGCCCTTCTTTGCCCCTGGGATATCGTCCGTTGTTCTTCCCTGGCTCTCGTTCCTACAATGTAACCCAGATGAACGCTAATGTCTCTGTGATTTTATATGTGTTAATTTACGTAGTTTAGACGATGGTTAAGTTTTGTTTATAACGTCATTGTAATGTAGCACATATTCCACAAATCCCGATAGACATCGGGGCGCCATAAAAAATAAATCCTTCTTGGGAAAATAACATTCGTTTACTATATAAGTAAATTGTAGCGTTTTTCAGTCAGTTCCAACTTCGATGAATTATATTAGAAATTGTGAGTGATAAACAATAGTTAGCGTTGTAACGTTTCCGTTTACATTTGAATTGAAATTCCCGCTAAATATAAAAATTTAAACTCAAGGTAATCAACAATAAGAATTTGGACAAAGGTAACGAGTAAGGGTCAAGGGGGTTATCGAATGTAGAGAGGTTAGAGGAGAAAATGGTTGAATGAATCCGAGAATATTGTTGTAATCCTGTAAGAAATTCAAAATTAATTAAAGTGATTGATACATTTACTACAAACATAAACTAAGTAAGTAATTATTTCATGGTAATTCTTTTATAACTCTCAAAATTCCGTTTCAAATTTTAGATCCATGCCATACATATGTGATATTTGAAATTATATGAAATTCCTTTTAATTATCAAATAAACCCAAAAACATTTGGTAAGAAGATGTGTTAAAGCAAAAATTTATTTTAATTATACCTAATTTATTTTAGGGTTTATTTATTAGATAGTTAAAATACCAATTTGGATCATCGTATAATCTACCCTTAATTTACATCTGGAGCCGGAATCCACATCAGAATCTCATCCAACGCCGTCGTTTGGTAACCATCACCGAGTCCTAAAACAATAAAAAAAATAGAAATCAATTTGGATTAAGGTCAGAAAAACTGTTTAAATTAAACTCACCTCATTAATCATCCAACACAAAACATATTGTGAAGTAATCACGACATACGTAATCTGTAAGAGATCTCCGGTAAAACCCTACAACACCCACTCAAACATTCACCTCTCTTTCATTTCTAGTAGTCCTTAAAAAAAGCAGTTATTATTTTAGCGAACATTAAAGAATCAAGTATTTGTGTTAATGGTTTATTTCATATAGTTCTAGGACTGGATTTTATTAATCGTACCCTAATTTGTCCAACGCAACCCTGGCGCCCTAATAATCCTTATGCTCTCCGGTTTTGAGCCGAGCGAAGGGGTATCGGTCCAACATTGTATGAAACATTGCCATACAGTTTTCTTACCAGGTAGTTTGTTTCTTGATTGATTTATTTTGTTGTCCATTTAACGATTGACCGTATTTACGTTACCTCTTCATGAACCTATCGAATTGGTATTTTTGCCAATACGAAAAGGTTATAGCGTTATAAATTAATTCGTAATAAAGACTGTTTCATTGTTAATAAGTTGTAATAAATCAAGAAAGTAATTAAATTTACGTTACAATAATTTGTTTATTTTCTTTACTTAATTGTAAAATAACTACGTGTTATAAGTTAAGGAACATCTCAAAATTGTTCGCGTAATATTTGTAAATTTTATCTCATGCTTTTCTCCGGGCGTAGATAACCATGTCGATAAAATTAATTTTGTAAACAGATGTCGCAGATGCACGCTTTGGATCTTTCATGGTATTCTAATTAAACTTTTCAACAAACGGAACTGTTTTCTACAAACTACCGCCCTTCTTTCTTGCCCCTTATCAAAAAGAGGGTGGGGGCGAAACTGGTTTTATCCTTCATGGTACTCTAATGAAAGGTCTCGACGAAAGGAATTAATTTCTACCGGCCATAGCCCTCCTCCTCGACCCCTTATCGTAATCGGATATAATTCCATATATCTCAAGAGCGGATTATCGTAGGAGGGTACTTACAAATTGGGATGTATGGAAGAAATATAGGTACCCATTGGTGATGTCAAAACTTGCAGTGCGAATGTCCCGAGAGTGGAATGTCGAAGGAGAGTACTTAAGGGCTATTGAAACATGTGGAAATAAGTAAATAAAATTCATAAACAAAGATGTTACAAGAGCGGTTGGTAGGGGTGTTAATAATTGTGCCTTATCTGCAAGACATGTACGTACTTGTTTTTTTGTACGTGTTTGTTTAATGGAAATTGCACTGCAAGGCTGAATATTCAAATTGTTGACATTACAAGGTAATTATGATTTTCTTTAATCCGTTTCGCCCGGGCGTTTATAGCGTGGTGTTTGTCTCTTGTCCTATGAGTGCTGTTTTTTTTCTTAGTAGTGATTATTTCTTTGTAAACCAAAAATTCTTCTAGTAAAAACAGGCCAGGAGACAGGCATATAGCATATTGTGAAAATCAAATGTGCGCATGCGCAAACTGAGCAATGTCATCTTTTTATTTATGGAGATATTTTTTGGAACTGATGCTTTTAGGAAAGACAAACATATCGCATATTGTAAACATCAGGTATGCAGATGCACGGACTGCGCAATGCTAAGTTTCTTATTTATAAGAATATTTAAGCTTTAACTTGTTGTCCTTTGTGCACTATAGTCTGTTACATGACCTCTCGGGAAGTTCTGACCAATTCATAGAAAATCCGCTAGTCACTCGCCCTAAGACGAAAATTTCTATTTATTTTTTTAGCTTCCTGGCGAGTTATTTTAAGTAACTTTTCTCAATTTCTGAATTTTTTTAATGTGAGTTTTTAGCGCCGTGACGTCATACAACTACAAAATGCTAACCCACATTTTTTATGAGTTTTGATGAGTTTACGTTAATAGCTTTAACTTTGGCTACAAAGGTACTGGGTTCGAATCCCAGGTAAAGCATGGCTGTTTGTGATTGTATAGTAGGTTGGGTGGGAAGAGTAGCTAATTATCTAATACTCCCCCCATTATAAAATAAAGACAATAAAAAAAGGAAAACGGACTAGGACACAGAGTGTTATACTATTACCACTTTTATAGTAATGAGTAATGACTCACGCGTACCGTCCAGCTACAGAAATTAGAAAACTAAGGTAAGGAAAGCGGATCTTGGTACCCGACAACTGCACCAAATTATCAGTTGACCGAAATTGCCCGCGGTACCTTGTACGTTATAGAGTTATAGTTTGTCATCGTACACCACTCTACGTACATCAGACATACATATTTGTCCCACGGATATATGTACGTAAAATGGAACAATGGATTTATAAAAAAACGATAATGGCGCCAGAGTTACTATCGGTGGCGCTTAACGAACGAGGGCATTACGTTATAGTAAAATTATGATTATCATATCTCTAAATGGTAGGGGGGGGGGGCAAATGAATGGAACCGAATGCACGTGGAGATTCGCCAAGAGTAATCCAAAAGTACAGTCGTTATGACGAAATGGAGATAAAATACTTACACTAATGTTCCAGTAAATGTAAATGGATGCCCAATTCTAATTTGGGAAAGCGTATAGGCACTTACCTTATACTGAAAGCACTTCTGTTAATAAACAACACTTTTCTTGAAGTTGAATAAACATTGTATTTGACTTTGTGGATTGTAACGTTTCTGATTGGTGCTGACGAAACTTTCGATCGGTACAAATGGTATCTTTCTATGGAATGCTAAACAGAAGGTATTATTTACTCAGTAATACCTTAGTAATTACTTTACTTATACCGTACAATGCGTCAGAAGGAAAAAGCATGGTAATCGATTGCCTAATGTTCGAAAGATATTAGGTGAGTTTGGGATAGTATTGCGTTTCCTGTATTGAAGTTAACATATAGAAATAATGAAAGTCCTTTTATTACTCAACCTTTTTGTCTACGTGGTGACAGGCGCTTTGACTTACAAAGAAAACAAAAGAGAATTAAGAAGAGCTTGTGCAGAAAAAATTATTAAGAACATCTTCCATGACTCCATGGCGTTGAGTGTCTTAACAGATGATAGTGAACTATGCGACAGTGTGTGGGGTTCCCCAATTCCTAAAACGGTGGTAAATATCAACAAAAATATCGATCATCAGCATAAAATTTACAATACAGATCACGTGATTATGTGTTTGAATGATATAAACATGTTTAAAGACAAAATAAAGCAACTTGTCACGTTGAGGACAAAAGTACTCGGAAAAGGTCATGGAACTATACGGCTCTTGATAATCACCTCTACCTCCTGGAAACGTAACGTTACCGAAACGTTTCGAAGTTTATGGAAAGACGGTTTCTTTAGTGTCTTCGTTTACGTGTATGAAGATGAAGTTTTGTATACAGCGAACCGTTTCGAAGTAGGGAATGGATGTGGAGATAATCCAAATGTAATCCAAATCTACAACTGTTATGAGGGGATAAAGATGAAAGACACTAACGTTCCAATGAACGTAAATGGATGCCCAATTAGATATGGTGATAGAAATGATAGTGTTGGTGGAGTATTGAGTGAAAGAAAACCTCAGATGCTGACCACTATCTATAAACGTTTTCTTATTAAATTACTAGCGGAGCATTACAACGGCAATCTTAGTAGAGAATTAGGAATCCTAGATCCTGCTATGATA